GACCCGGGGATCGGATAAATGGATTCTAAAACGTTAAAACTCAACTGTTTAACTCTAGGGGAGCTGGAAAATGAGCCTATTTTCAAAAATAGTGGAATGTTCCTTTAAATATTTAATCTTTTTTTTGTGTGTGTAAATGTTGATTGTTTTTATTTGAAAATGATTTATATAGACTGTTTCATCGGGCGCACGAGCCTGGCCCGAAGTTAATATCAAAAATAATCTACTCTAAAGGGACTACTTAGCTGTTGTCATTTATTCTATTTGGAAGTCTACCGGAAGTTAAGTTAGGGCCACAAAAGCACGCATGCGCAGTAACGTTTGTTTATGTTGTTGCCGTTGAAACAGTCTATAGTGCTGCTTGCTGCACATGAAAAAAATTATATTGCAGTTATTTTGTTGATTCTTAAAATCTAATGAAAACACATATTGCTGCTGCTGACACCAACTCTCAACCAATAAACTCTCTTTATTATTATCAGGTTTAACTTAAAATGAAGACATAAATATATTACTGTTGTAAATTACAGTTGAACTGTAAAATAATAAAATAAATTTGATAATTATAAACAATTAATTTACACTACAATTTACCAATATTTATGTCTTAAATTCTTCATTTTCAGTCATTCAAACCTTCATGCTTTTATTTTGGCTGAATATTGGTAAAATTCAGTACATTTCTGTCCACAGAAATGTTGGAGATTATGGAAATGTGTAAATAAAGTGAATCTAGTTCACATTGCATTCCCAAAATGCATGTTAAACTCATATTGCATACAAAGATGAAGCATTTACTGTGAATTGAGACACTTAATTATATTGTGATTTCCGTTTCATTTTGATTTATTGTGTTGCCCCATCCAGTTCCTGTACGAACCCCCAAGGGTTCGCAGACACCCATTTGGGAAATGCTGATTTAACCAAAGAGAGCATAAAACAAACCAAGAAGTGTGCTGGTCACAAATTAAACAAGTGAAATAAATCCCATAAACTTACACTGAAGTGAGCCATGCCGTTTTTCTGTCTGAAAATGGATCATCAGCTAACATGGCACAGGCACGTATTTGCTCTCATTAATTAGAAGTGGCTCTTTTCCCTCAATTGAATGATTTAGTTTTTGTTGTTGTTTAATTAAATCATTTCCAAGTGTCCTGATTTGCTCCCACACTGTGACCAAACCACACATGTGAACAGATTATCATGAATGAAGGATGCTGTACCGATGGTCTTGATCGTAGATCAAGAGTTTGAACATAAACCTGACCTCTGACCCTTCCCTCTGCTCTAGGTACGGGTGAGAGCGGCAAGAGTACGTTCATCAAACAGATGCGTATCATCCATGGCACCGGATACACAGACGAGGACAAACGCGGATTCACCAAACTGGTGTACCAGAACATCTTCACCTCCATGCAGTCCATGATCCGCGCCACTGAAAACCTGAAAATCGGCTTCAAGTATGAGCAGAACAAGGTGAGAATGATTCATGTTGAGTATTTTAAGTTGGACATGGTGAAACTGATGAAAACATGTCTAGGTCTTGTTTCACACCTAAATCAAAAGGAATCATAAAGGAAGTTGAAGCCTGACATGTAATTTAAAAAAAATGTAGCATTCCATCACTTGCCCACTAATTGATCCTCTGCAGTGAATGGGTGCCGTCAGAATGACAGTCCAAACAGCTGATAAAAACATCACAATAATCCACAGGTAATCCACACCACTCCAGTCCATCAGTTAATGACTTGTGAAGCGAAAAGCTGCGTGTTTGTAAGAAATACATCCATAATTAAGACGTTTTTAACTTCCAAATCGTTGCTTCTGGCTAAAATACCTCCTCTATCCATAATATTGCTTTCTTTAGTGGAAAAGGTTGTCTCATCTGAATCAGGAGAGAAATATGCACAGATCAAGATTAATTTATAAGCTAAACAAAAATGTGGGTGGATTTTGATGTGAGAGGACAACAGGGGATGGACTTTTTCACTGGAGGAAGCGTTTTTATGGATTATGGACCACAAACCATAATATGGATTAAGCAACAGTCCGAAGTTAAAAACGTCTTGATTAACTTGTTTCTTACAAACACGCAACTTTTTTTCTTCACAAGATTGTGAAGTGCTGGCCTGATGGAATGGAGTGGTGTGGATTACTTGTGGATTATTGTGATGTTTTTATCAGCTGTTTGGACTCTCATTCTGACGGCACCCATTCACTGCAGAGGATCCATTGCTGAGCAAGTGATGGAATGCTACATTTCTTCAAATCTGTTCTGATGAAGAAACAAACTCGTCTACATTTTTAAAAAGATGTAGATTAAAATTATGTCTACATTTTAGCTGCTGTAACTGGTTGCCATTGCTTCTAACCAATCATTTTAACCATGAATTGGTTTTCACCATTCATAATTTTGCTTTGGTGTGGCAAATGAAAAAAGTACAAATATTCCATGTGGTCTCACTATTAATGAGACATCACGCATAAGAGAAGCTCTGTAATGAGTACAGAAGGATCAGAGCATGTTTAAAATAGGTTAGATTGAGTATTGCACATCTGCACTGCTGTATATTATCAATAGTTTCCTCCATTGCGTTGGCTTAAACTGTTCATCTGCTCTGGGCTGCAGGCAAACGCCATGCTGGTGAAGGAGGTGGACATTGAGAAGGTGTCGTCATTCGACCAGCCCTACATTAGTGCCATTAAGATGCTGTGGACAGATCCAGGCATTCAAGAGGCCTACGACAGACGCCGAGAGTACCAGCTATCAGACTCCACGAAATAGTGAGTAAATCTGTCATCATCTTTTTATTGAATAGAGTTTGATTATTTATAGTGTTTTTAAACAGTCAAATTCTCTAACAATTATATATATAATTATATATATATATTCACACTGTTGTGCATGCTTACAATCTACATGATATCAAAAATGACCCCATTTACTTTCCTAATATGTGTTCCTGGTGATATTGTGAAAGATTCATGTTGAATGTTATTTCATTGTAAAACATTTCTGGAATTTTTTTTCATTGTTTACTCATCCTCGCGTCATTCCAAACCCGTATGACTTTATTTCTTTTTGTGGAACATTAAAGGGGATTTTTTCCCCCCATGCAATTACAACGAATGAGAACTGAGGCTTTCCGGCTTGCAAAAGTTTGATTTGACTCTTGTACTCTAGTCGTCTGATAGCTGTGTGTGGGGAACAGACTGAAATTTGAGCTTGTAATCACTCAAATTCAGTCTTTAATTCTTGACTCTTTGAATCAGTCTGATTAATGAATGAGTCATTCAGACTGACTTTGCAAGGTGAATCAACTGATTCTTTGAAAAAATACTCAATCGCACAACGCTATATCTCATTAACTCTGAACGAGAACAATTTTCAGTGAATAACTCACACAACGCTATCATGTGACTTCAGAAGATTTACAATATAGCACATGAGTCATATAGACTAATTTTATGATGCAGTTGTGTCCTTTTTAGAGCGTGAAAGCTCGTGTTCCTATTCATTGTAAAGGACAAATACAATTCTTTAAAAATTCTCCTCCGTTGTTCCACGAAAGAAAGAAAAGTCATACAGATATGAAACGACAGGAGGGCAAGTAAACGAATTGTCATTTTTGGATATACTATTTCTTTCATGCTAACCAATACCCAAGATGTTATTAAATCTGGAAAATGAAGGGGGAAAAATCAATTTCTGTTTAAAAAGAACACGCCTTTCAGCTTGTGCAACACCTACAAATCAGTTCATGTCTCAAAGACTGTGTTTTATTGTTTCAAAGTTTTCTTTTTGTCAGTGGGTTTGTGTCCATGTCTCTCTGATGATCTAATTGAAGAGTTTGGCGGCAGTCAATCTTGTCCTATTTCTTTTACTGGACCAATATAATATAAAGGCAGTGCGAATTTCGCCACATTAATACACACAGATGTATGAAGCCTGGAGTCAGTTCAAGAATCATTGGCATCATGTGAATCACACCCCCTGCTGGTTTGTTGGGGTAATACAGGTCACATCAGTACAGTAGGAATATCTGGGTGACCGCAGTCAGTTGAACAGATTGACACAAATTCAACTAATACAATTAGAAATGTATAATTTATCTAATAAATTAACTATTTGTATAAATTTATAATTAATCTGTGTCGACAGCAGTGACAAGCTACAGAATTTTACTAAATATCTTGCTACAAAATCCAAAGGTATTGAAATGAATCGGTGAATCATTTTTTGAACAAGTTCGTTTACATGAACCATCCGAATGAACCAGTTCACTCAAATTAATCAGACTTTACCAGCACTACATATGAGAAGATGGGATGTTCTACAAAAGCATTTGCTTATTGATTAGGTTGATGACTGCGGAATATATTGTAGTTTAATTGGTTAAAAAAACAGATATATGGTAGTTAAATTGCTAAAACAACGGTCAGGGATTCATATGGACACATCTCATTTAAAGTATTCATTTTTCAGATTTTGACAGCATTTGCTGAATTAAAAATGCAACATAATGAGGTCATGTGACAACATTGTAGCCAGACTACTGCTTTGCATGCTATTAAACATAGTATGCAATGTACAGTATGCATGTTGCATGTTAAATTCAGCAGATGCAATTGAGGAAATTATGTTTTGTTTGTGCAATAAAAATAACAAAAATGTAACGTAAAAAAATTACTAACATTAATTTCTTTATTCTTTTATCATTTTCTTTATTCTAGGAAGATATTTAATTTTACAGGGTTTAATTGCATGAAAGTAATGTCACAATGCAAAAGCATCTTAATATTCTTTATCCAGAATATAATTTCTAATTTCTTTTGATTCTGGATAAGTTGTTGACAGTTTTCATGGTGTTTTCCTTCTCATTCGACATTCAATTCAAATAAGACAATAAAGAGATTTATCCTTACTTACTGCATACTATTTCAGAAATAATAGAGAGTATGCATTGTGCATTCTGAAAATAAGATAGGCCTACCTTAGTTTGACCAGACACAAAGAACATTTGTCTTCCCTATTTAGCCATTGTGTTTTTTCAGATTGTCTCACAAGACAGCATAATGAGCATCCTCTGAGATCTGCTGACGGGGGACGACGTCTGACTCTCGAGAATTCTGCTGGAAACATTCTTTACCAAACCACCAGCCTGTGATATAAAGGGGTTAATGATGTTTTCATCTCTTTCTGTAGCTATCTATCTGATCTGGATCGTATCGCCGTGCCCTCCTACCTTCCCACCCAGCAGGATGTTCTGAGGGTTCGAATCCCGACTACTGGGATTATTGAATACCCGTTCGACCTTCAGAGCATCATTTTCAGGTAGAGGACACAGACCAATTATTCATCAGCTTCCGTTTGAAATTTAGGAACTTTGCACTGAATGTAGGTTAACATTGAGAATAGATCCATGGAGGAGAGTTATTAATATTTTCCCGAGCTGAAGACGACTTTCTAGTGTGTGACCTACAAAGATGCAGTCACACCCCACATCAGTCAAAGTTGTCTTCGCTGCACTTCTGTTGATTATTTTTTATTTGTCTTTATTGAGCCATCAAAACCCACAAAACAGTTTCTAATTCCGCGCTGACATGGGCAGAAGCACAAATTTTGGGGTCGGTTTGAGGTTTTTTTAATGATTTTGAAAGAAATGCTCACCAAGGCTGCATTTATTTGAACAAAAATACAGTAAAAACTGTAATATTGTGAAATATTATTACTAATTAAAATAAGTGTTTTCTATTTGAATATATTTTAATAATGTAATTTATTCCTGTGGTGCAATCCTTCATTTTTCAGCATCATTACTCCAGTCTTCAGTGTCACATGATCCTTCAGAAATCATTCTAATATGCTGATTTACTTCTAAGATGATTTGATTTGCTTTTGAAAACATTTTTTATTATCAGTGTTGAAAGCAGTTGGGCTAATAATTTTAATATTTAATTGAAAACCTTTTTTCCCCAGTATCTTTTGATGTATTGAAAGTTCAAAAGAACAGCATTTATTTTTTTGTAACATTAAAAATGACTACTGTAAGTTTTGATCAATTGAATGCATCTTTGCTTGGTAAAAGTATTCATTTCCTTTGAACTGTAGTGAGCGCAGGGACATAGAAACCCCTTGCTTATTGAAAGACGTTCATTATATTTTAAAGAGGTCGCAGTTTAAATGACTCCAAGCAGAAGCCTGTGTCATCCGGTCACTGTGGTTAAACGAATGCACAAGTGGTAAATGGTAATCCCACCATGGTTAGCATTTACCAACTTCCGCCTTTTAGCAAATCAGATTTCTAGATGATGTTTTAAACTTTTTATTGGTAGCACTTTGTGTGTTATTGCCTGCTTAGGATGAATTACTTTGTTGTGCTCCTCATTTGTAAGTCACTTTGGATAAAAGCATCTGCTAAATGAATGAATAATCAGTGCGGGTGAACATCATATAATGTAAGGTTAATATTCATGACCCAAGGGCGTGGCCTATGTAGACAAAACTAGCTAAAAAAAAAAAAATCTATAAAAATAAGGGTTTACAAAAGAATGAAAACTTACCTAGAGCTAAAAATGTGAACCAAAGTAAACTTAAAAAAGTGTGTGTTTTTTTCAGAACTATAGAATAGATTAGGGATGCACCGAAATGAAAATTCTTGGCCGAAGCCAAAACCGAACAAAATTAAACACTCGGCCGAAGGCCGAATAACGAACACAGTGTTTTTTTCCCCATGTATTTTGCCAATTTTTTTTTTTCACCATTGCATAAATTAAAAAGCCAAAATGTGCTTTTTACTGTTTTGTCTTGCTTTTCAAAGAAAAGAAATCAATTACAAAACAACAATTTAAAAATATTTAACACTGAACATTTGTAACATTCTAGCAGACACTATACCAACAAAGCACAATGTAACTTAAAATTAATAAGTTAGTAAAATAATAATTTTTTGGTCATCAGACCCCCCTTCTTGAATCAGGCATGTATTTTTTTTTTTTTTTGCTGTACAATTGAAAGCAACCTTGCTGAGAAGAGACTTTTAAAACATTAGAAAATATTACAGATTTTAATTTGAACACTATGTGTGAATGTTATAATAAATGTATTAAAACACAATAGCCTAGTGGGCAGTGTGCCGGCATATAGTGCCGTTGCGCTCCGGGCGTCCCGAGTTCGAGTCCCGGCTCGTGGACCTTTCCCGATCCCACCTCTCTCTCTCTCCTACTTCGCTTCCTGTCACTGCTATACTCAAAATAAAAATGCCAAAAATAAATCTTTAAAACAGAGCTGTTGTAATGATTATCATTATTATTGTCTTACTTTTTACTTTATTTTACAGAACAACAGTAAAATTACAATACTAACATTTATGAATGTTGATAAGAGTTCTTGCTTTTTCTCAACTTTTTATTTTGGCGGAAACGCGCAGGAAGACCTCAATGCTTATTTTTGTTGACAACAGATTTATAAATGAGTCTCATTACGAATACGTCGTACGCTTTTCCTCGCGCTTTGGACTTTGAACCCTGGTTAACAAGCAGATCTGCTGCGAGTTCGTGCAGCGCTGTCAGAATACATGCAATGCGCGCGCGTGTATTAGAAAACGTAACGTTCTGCAGTTTATTTACTAATTTTGCGATTTCAATCATCATACAGTAGCCATCAACAATCACCCCTTCCTCTTCTCGTTGAAGACATGCGATGCAGTCCTAAACCGTCTCTCGCTGTCAGTGCTTGTAATGATTTTTGCGTCTTTCTCCGACAGTTTAAATGCTTCCACACTGCTGACGTGTGTGCTGCATAATAAAGAGTGCGCGCCTCTCCCTCTGCACTGGTTGCTATTTGATCGCGTCATATCATTGTTCGGTACAATTTATTCGGTCTTTTTGCTTATTCGGCCGAACACCGAAAGAGCTTTTTTTGCTATTTTCGGCCAAATAATTTCGGTTGCCGAACATTCGGTGCATCCCTAGAATAGATTTATAGATTTTGCAACAACATTTTCAGCCTAATTATTGAAGTTTAATGACAAAATTACTATAGTTGCACACATTTATCCAGTGCGACTACACGTTTAAAATCTGCATGTGATGAGATGCTGATGAGATTTACGGTGTGTTTTGGAATTGTTCCTATGTGCGTGATGATATGAAAATTCATCAAAACACACAGATTATTTCTGCCCTCTCTGCCATATTGACGCCATAAATGATTACCATCAGCTCTGTGGTTTGTTAATCTCTGTAAAACTGTCTTAAACGCTCACACACCTCACGTCGAGTTTCCCTGAAGAGTAAAACTCTCTTATCTTTTTATGTCTCTCGCTCTCTCTGTCTGTCCTCCTGCCAAAGTTGGCTAAGTGCGGAGTGAATGTGGAGACTCGTCCTACATTAAAGAGCATGTGTATGTTCAGAAGTAGGTCAGCGAGCCCCTGGCTGAAGGAAATGAGGACACTTCTATCTGAAGGAGCTTTATTTTGGGCAGCCAATCCTAGAGGGCTTCATTTATCAAAGGCCCCTCTGTGAACTGCTGGCTCAGGACTGGAGCTCTGACTCCACTAGGGGGCGCCGTATGAATCCCAAAATCAGCGCCAGTTCTGGCTGCACACATTTACCATGTTTCTGAAATCTAGGACTTCGAATATGTTCAGAAAAGCATGCTAAAATATTACCTCTACTCTTAATGCAGTATGCATATTGTGTATAGTATGCAAATTTCCACATTTATCTTTATTGACTCATTATGTGATTGGACTGACAGGTGTTCACATAAAAACATTTTACACACAATTGCATTACATTTTTTTTCTTTTAAATTTTATTGAATTGCATTCAAAATATTTTTATTTACACATGTAACATAATGTGGACATGTGACAGCAGTGTAGCATACTATTTGAAATATTTATACTATACATACTACATTGTATGCAGTATACTGTAAGTATACATATAATGTATATTGCCTACTGTTTTTTAAATGGTATGTAAAACTGAAAAAGTATGCATTATGCCATGGTAAATAAACGGTACTGTACTGTTTTTGAATTATGCTTTTTGTTTTGCAAAAAAAGTTTGGGTTACACTTAATTTTAAGGTGTCCTTGTTACAGTGTAATTATAAATTTAAGTACTGATTAATATTAATTAACAACATGTACTTACTATATGGTTAGGGTTAGGATTAAGGTTTGGCTTAGGGCTACTTGCATGTAATTATGCATAATTGTTATTATAATAGCAAGTACATGTAACGTGTAACAAGGACACCTTAAAATAAAGTGTTACCAACGTTTGCAGATTTCCTATATTTTTAACAAAATTGCATTGCATTAAATTGCATTAAAAATATTTTTATTTGGAAGATGATTCCTGGACTGGCTGGATTTAACATGCAATGCATATATATATATCAAATATTATTTTTTTTTAAATAATATACAGTATATACTGCACAGTATGCATAAAGTGATTTTGTTCAGAATTAAATGATTGCATAGTGCATACTATGATGTACACTGTATACTGTAAGTATACATATACTGTATATTGCTTAATATTTTTTTTAATGTGTAAAAAAAAGAATGCATTATGCAATGATAAACAAACAGTACTATACTGTGCTGCTGTCACATGGCCTCACTATATTGTAGATTCAGTCAACCCAGGTGTCATCTCAACGATGAATATAGTTAATTTGCTTTTTTAATTCAAATATGCTTCAAAATGTCTTAACTTGCATATAATAATGTGTCAAAAAGGATAAAAAAAAGCATTCAGCACACATGAGACTGTAAGGTCATTGCATTATGGGATACAGTGCTCCATGCAGCATGTTCTGGCTGTGCATTTTATGCATGTTTTTTCATGCATACAGAAGATTTGCATACTGTGCACAGTATAAGCATGAATTATTAATGTATATAAAGTCAGTAACAAATCAATAATGCAAACGCTCGCTCTCTTTGTCTTTCAGGATGGTTGATGTGGGGGGTCAGAGGTCAGAGCGCAGGAAGTGGATCCACTGTTTTGAGAATGTGACGTCCATCATGTTCCTGGTGGCACTGAGCGAGTACGATCAGGTTCTGGTCGAATCGGACAACGAGGTAAGCAACTCATTTACTATAGACGTGTTTATCTTTACCTTTCTGTGGTGGTCTTGTAATTTTTAGTATATTTTCTGGTGGTAATTTGACAACAATGTTGCCAACTACAGTTTGAACTATTCATAATTGCACACTGTATACTTCTTCAGTTTATTTGTATAGCACAATTCATACACGATAGTAGTTGAAAGTGCTTTCCATAGTAGGGATTTAAAAACAATCACAAAAAATGCATAATAAATAAATAAAAATATCAATAGAACATTGGAAATAAAAATGTATTAAACATTTAATTAAAATATTAAATCTAACTTTAAGGAATAGTATACTCTCTCTCTCTCTCTCTCTCTCTCTATATATATATATATATATATATATATACACACACACACACACACACACACACACACACACACACACACACACACAGTTGTGGTCAAACTTTTACATACACTTTGCAGTATCTGCGAAATGTTAATTTTACCAAAATAAGAGGGATTGTTTTTTGAACATTAAAGCATGTCAACATATTCTGTTACACCAAATACACAAAATAATGATCTTTAAAATGGCATCATATGACCCCTTTAAAAATGACCCCGTTCAAAAGTTGTGTTGGTAACTGGATGATCCACAGAATTTTTTTTTTCATGTGAACAGTTCAGGACAAATAAGGGACTCATGAACAACTATCACAAAACAAAAAAAAAAACGCTGTGGATCATCCAGGTAACAAAACAGGATTAAGAATCAAGCATATGAAAACTTTTGAACGGGGGCATTTTTATAAATTCAACTTATTTTCCCTTGTGAACTATATGTAAACTATATGTTGATATGTGTGTTTTTTTATGTGAAATATCTTATTCAGGTCAGTACTAAATAAAAAATAACATGCATTTTGTATGATCCCTCTTATTTTGGTAAAATAATTAACATTTTGCAGATTTTGGACTCGTGGCCTAAACGTTTTTATTTGTCAGCAAGTTATTTTTCAATCTGCATTCTGACATATATGACGATCCAATCTTTGTGTTTGTGTTCAGAATCGTATGGAGGAGAGCAAGGCTCTATTCAGGACGATAATCACATATCCATGGTTCCAAAACTCTTCTGTCATCCTCTTCCTAAACAAGAAGGACCTGCTGGAGGAGAAGATCTCCTACTCCCACCTGGTCGACTATTTCCCAGAGTTCGATGGTATGTTGGATTCCTGTCGTACGGTGTTTTTCATGTAGACTGGTTTTATGCAAACAGTCCCAATGTAATGCAGGGCTCGCAAAATCTCTAGCCCGACGTCCCGGGGCTATTGTGTTTTCCAGTCGGACTACCAAATGTATCACCACCCTGCCTGACGGGCTATCTTGAACAGTGATATAAAATTCCTTCCTTGATTTGCGTTGTTCACTAGCTTGTAGGGGTAAAACGGATCGTAGTTTCGTTTGCATGTGTTTTCTAAGTCTTGCCGATATAAACATTCAAGTGTTTTAAACCATTCACGCGCATTCGGAGCTGCGCGCACTCATTCAAAGCGCGCACAGAGAGCCGCGTTTCAGACAATGCGTGTACACCGAATTGATTCCTCTTTCGTGTATCCTTGCATCTGAATGAACGCATACACACAAAATTATCTCAAAATAACTGTCTCGGCAAGTATTCTCGTAAAAACACAGTCGGTTATGCCTTAAGTGAATGTAAACAGTGGTGAGGTGAAAGAAATCTCAAGTGCATCATTATATTGGATCTGTGCATTCGGTCTTAAAGGGGCAGCAGCCTATAAATACCTGCTGTTCCATAAGCGCCACCTGCTGTCAGAGAGTGACATTTGCGTCTCATTCACAAAGCTAAAATCAAACCATTCAGTTTTTGCTTCAAATTTCGAAATTATACAATCTAATTGCAATCTAAATAAGATGTATTTAGCATCTTTGTTTGGATCGTGATTAAAATGCAGTGGTTGCCTCTGATTTTAAATGGAAAAAGCACAGTCAAAGCATTAGTTTATTTTTAGTTTATTTTTAGTTTATAAGAGATTTATTTTATTTGTATTATTTAATTATTTGATTTGGGATTTGTTTTAAAATTTCAAGTTAGTTTTATTATTTGACATATTTCAATTTCACAAAGAAATGTGCACCTTTTCATTTATAATATGTCTTAAATCTCATTTTGTTATAAAATAAAATTGTATTGTGAAATCAGTATCGTGAATCGCATCGCATTGTGAGTTGAGTGAATCGTTACATCCCTATATGCTACTAGTTTTTGCTGTTGTATCAAAATAGTATTCTGTTATTTAAATAAAGAACCATATTTTTTTGCTCATCTGCAATTTTTTTTTATTCGGGCTACTTAAATTCATTTTGGGCTACCAAAATCTGAAGAATGTCTGCCCGAAGGGCTATCAGCGATTTTGAAATTTTGCAAGCCCTGTAATGTAATAATAAATATTTCTTAAGCAGCAAATCAGCATATTAGAATGATTTCTGAAGGATCATGTGACACTGAAGACTAGAGTACTGATGCTGAAAATTCAGCTTTGTATCACAGAAATAAATTATATTTTAAAGTATATTCAAATAGATAACAGTTCTTTTAAATTGAAATTATATTTCACAATATTGCTGTTTTTACTGTATTTATGATCATATAAATGCAGCCTTGGTGAGCGTAAGAGACTTTTTTCAACAACTTCAATATTAGCCACGCCAAACTTAGATTATTCCGGCCTTAGACAAGTTTTTCATTAAAAACAAAAAAAACAAATACACAACCCTTTAAGCTTTACAAATACTTTTTGTTCCAAATCAATTATTATAATGCTATGATTCATCTTTCAGCTGGTTGGTTTGTTTCAAGATAAAAAAAAAAACTCTTTATTGTGGAATAGGAAGGATGAACTGGTTCAGGTCTCCTGAAGTTTTTAACTCCATGTACACATTGTTTTGTAGGGCCCCAAAGGGATGCCCAGGCTGCACGGGAGTTCATCCTGAAGATGTTTGTGGATCTGAACCCCGACAGCGACAAGATCATCTACTCGCATTTCACCTGCGCCACCGACACGGAGAACATCCGCTTTGTGTTCGCGGCGGTGAAAGACACAATCCTGCAGCTAAACCTGAAGGAATACAACCTGGTGTGAGACGTGTGACGAGTCCGACACATGAATCAGCATAAAACAGGCACCCACAGAGCGTGCGCACACCTACGTCCACACACCACACACACACACACACACACACACACACACACACACACATGCATCATGTACACTTTCAGAAACACACGGTTCTTTTGATTTCTCTTTACTAGCTTCCAGAGTTTTTCTCTTTCTGTCCAGCAGAATCATAACGGACATGTCCTGCTCATCGTTTGTTTTTTATTTGTTTGCGAAAGTCTGTCCGCTCATCCCTGGCAGCTCTCGTCAAAGGCCTCTTTCCCTTTTATCAAATTTGACCACAAAAAAAAAAAGAAAGAAAAAAAAGTGGCTCGGATTTGACAAAGGGCATTAGACTCCTACTAGCCACTTCAGCGTTCACATATTTCATGGAAATGTTGGATTGGCGGAGCTACGATGAGAATGACCTGTGATACGCTGGCCTGAAAAACTGGAAGTGACGTTCCTTCTCCTGTCCTGTACTATCACTCGCTTCAATCACGTCATCTGCTCTGAGCGGTTCTCTGGAATTCCGCCTGGATGAATGGAAAAATTTGGTTTTCACAGCCCTGCAAAAAGACAAAAAATAAAACAACAAAAAAAAATCACAACATATTTACATACTTGTACATGGACACATGGACTAGTGCTGTGGTGCCGGAAGTTCCGAAATGGATTCTGGCGGATTCTAGAATCCAGTGGGTTCCAGCGGGTTCCACTGATGGTGTGGAGAACCTTTCACTCGCAGAGATGATTCTCTCGACGAGGCTAGTCTTCAACTCGCATCGATGAATGTAAACTTCATGTGAGAGCATTGTAAATGCAAAAAAAAACAAACAACAGCAACAAAAAAAAATGGGGGAAAAATTATAATGAACGAAAATAGTGTAAGAATGCCTATATAAGCAAAACGATACAGAGCACGCGATGAAGAGATGAAACTAATTAAATCTGTGTATATTGCTGAGATGATCATTTTAAAAACTTTTTAATGATAAGTAACTATAGCTACTTCTACTGCTACCGAATATAAAGTAAATTATGACGGCAGTCGAATTAATGGTGGGTAAGAGACAACGTTAAGGATTTTTAAATGTGTGCAAAACAGGATTATACATTTACGATAGGTATTGTTCCGCAGATTTCCACATTTAACGTTGACCGTTCCCTCACAGTTGTTATGTTTTATCCTCCTTCCTGGTTTCGTTTTAATTTCACCATCTAAAAAGTAGTTTCGGAGTGCGCAGTTATCTTTTTCCGCTCACGAACAGATACTTTATTAATTCACAATCCAGGCTGCAGACTCGCGGGTATCGTCGTCATCTAGCAGCACGGATGCACACAATCCATTATTTGTTTACGCAGGTTTTTTTTATTGTCATAACGTAACTTTTTCGGTCGACAATTTCAAGAATTTCGCGCGAGTTCCGGTGGGATCGCGGGAGGACGAGGTTGGGAAACAGGAAAGCATTTATGCGCTGAAGTTAATTGATTGTGTATATTTATATTTGTAAATACGTATACACATTATTGCTTATGTACAAAACGTCTGTGGTACACTATCTTTGGCAACAAAAAAAAAGAAGAAAAAAATCACTTTTTCGTAATTGTGTACAGTTCTGTTGGTTTTCTTATGAATTACAATATTATTGATACTGTGATTCTTCGTTTTAATTTTTGATTTTTCTTTTTTGGTCACTATGAATACGTCAAATGATATACACATAGCTGTACCTGACGGTAACGTGTGGAGGACGAACGTGATGAGTAATAGTCTGAGAAAGACTGACTGTTTGAAAGCGTTTGGAAACATCAGAGATGGATAGGGAAACAGCCTCCTCTATGGTGTGAATGTTATATAAGATAAAAAATAAAAATATGATTTTTTTAAGCAAAATAAAAAAATTATTAAATAAAGAACATTTTATTTATATAATTTATGGACCAGATCTGAAGTTGATCATTTGAATGCTATTGTTTCCACTTTTCCTATTTGAAGCACTCCCATGTTATGAGACAGAAATAGGAGACTCTAGTGTCTGTACTGCTGTACTTATTTTCTTTTTTCTTTTTTTTTTCTTCCCAAAAATGCAATATATTGTACTATAAATATTTTTCCCTGACCACAGTTTTCACTTTCCTACAGAATTTTTTTTATTTGTTAAATTTCCAAATGATGTTTAGGTGAAGTGCTTAAAAACAAACATAGGAAATGTACCATATTCAAAAATAGACAGCTTTTTATCTGTAATTGAAGATCTATTTGGTCGACGCTTGCAAGTAGTGACTTTTTCTTTACATTCTGATTTCATTTTCGAGTTCTTTATAAATTCACAGCTTGTTTCCGTATGTGATCCACAGATAGAAAAAAAAGTGTTCTACGGTTCTTTTACAGTCGATATTTTATACAGTCGAAAATCAATTCATACATTTCATTTTCATTCAATTTCATTCATTTTCATCAAGGGCTACGGAAAACACGCCACATGAAAACCAGAAACGATTGGTCACAGCTCAATGTGTGATTCGGTAGAGGGAGAAACGCGATCACAAATGCACCCATTCCACCAAATACTCATGCATTTTTCATTATAATTTTTTTCACTTTTGCTGCCATGCATCTGAGTTCATCACTTGCCACGGCCATCGGGCGCTCCACTAGAGAAGCAAACTCCCAAACGCTTTCTTGATGGATATAAAACCTGACGTGTTATTTGTAAACTTAATTCAGTGTTTAAGTGGGGTTTGGAAATGCCACACCATTTTGTAAATCCTGCAGTGTTTTCTTAGATGTCCGTAGTGAGTTAGATTTGAAGAAACTGATAATACAAAGCACTAAATCGTCTAAAACACCATAATTTAAACGTACGTCTTACTCTAAAGTGGACCTTAGTTTACTGCGACTGGTGAGTTTATGTCTCTGCTCACTAGGAGAACGTGTTGCTTTGTTGTATCTGGAGCAGCTTGATTGTTCTTAATGCACTTTTCGTTTTTTTTTGTTTATTCGTGCCACAAGGCAAACGCTTCGAGCAGCAGGCCGACCGTTTCAACTACTCATATCTATAAATGTGCCAGTCCCAGAAGTCTCGTATTCGACGTTCCCTCAAGAACCTCTACCTCTGTGATCCATGAGACGTTTTTCGGGCATTTTAGGATCGGTAGTCACGTGACAAGCACACTTCTTTAGTCCGTAAGGCACAGTCAGTGAGGTTTGGAGGCCAAACTTTGTATATTTATTAGATCTTGCCAACCTGCATGTATTTTGTTCGCCTTGTACGCTAAACACTGCAAACCAACACCTTTCTCAAGCCAAAAAAAAATCTTCCTTAAATATCCGGCGAGTGGTACATGGAAAATAGCATCTGTCCCGCTGCTGGCAAGAGAATCGTATGCCTGTGGCTTTGTTTCAGTTCAGCAGTGGACAAGTGAATAGACTTATCAGTTATGAAGGCTTTGGCTGTTCTGGGTAACTGTTAGGATATAATTTAGGCTAGAAAATACCATATACAAATGCATAAATGCTTGGCCAAAGCATTGCAAACATGTCTTGTTGATACAATCCTCAGTACTCAAGAAGGCACTAGAGTTTCCTTCAAATATCTGTGCCATTAAACCAGATGTTATTATTCCTGAAAAGGAAAATTGGCTGTGGAAGTTGCATTTGTGGCAGCTAAATTTACTGTATTCACTTTCCGGCTTGAAAATGATTCTTACGTATTCCTATCTTTCTCTAGTGTGCATAAAATAAGTCTCCAGGAGCATAAAATAAGGTCCCTTGCCTCTTGAGTTCTGTGTCTGCTTTAGTTCTCATGATGGTTGTGATTCAGTTCAGTGACTCTTTGCATTTGATTGCTTGTAAAGACTCGCTCGGTAAGATGCAATGAACACATAAGCTTGTTGACATGGAGTCACATTTCTACAGATGACAGAGCGAGGCTATTATGTTATTTCCATGTGAAGCATGTTTACTGGTACGGTTAGGTGCATCTATGTGGTGGACGGTCCAATGGTTGACGTTTTGACCCAATGAAGGAGTCATTAAAATGTGATTTCTGCTTTTTATCCCCTGTTCTTTAATTGTAATACATTACCTGAAAGCTGTTATGTCCAGGACCACTTGATCATGTACATTTGACTTGGTTTTCTCTCTCATTCTTTCTCTGCTTCTTTGTACCCGTTTATTTTGTAATTATACCAAATGTAAATGTTGTATAATATTGTGCGTGCCAATGCCCTTCTCTGAGACTGACTCATAACAAGTGCCAATTGTTGTCCAAATCACTTGCAGACTGTGAAATTAGACACGTTCCCCTTTTAAAAATGAGTAAAACACTAAAGAAGAGAGTAAATGGATTTACTTTGTATTTAAGTTAGAAGATAAACTGCTGTTTTTGCTCTTTTTTTTTTTTTGTGTAAGGAATTGTAATTATTAAAGCATGTGCTCTTTGTCCAGGTGGGAGTTTTGGGCTCAGACAAGCAACAAAATCCTCGAGACGAGGAAACATAGTGGAAATTTATTTTACGACATTCTCGCCATATTTTATTGTTGTTTTTATTTGTATTTGTTTCATTTCAACCACTGTTGCCTGAACCTCATTCAAACATGGAAATGATTTTCATAACCGCCTTCTAAACAAAAAACAAAACAAACAAAAAAATTATAAAGTATCTGTTTTAAATTTAAATAAATTTGTTCCTATACTTGCTGATGGTCTTGTAACTTGTTTTCTTTGCAGTGCCTGAAATGCTGAAGTGTTAAAATCCTGCAGATTGCTGCTTTTCAGATGAAAGTCATTTAATTTTGTTTTATCTGCATTATAATTTCAGCACATAAAAACTCTCGTGGCCTTTATTTTTAAATTGTTTGCCAAATATGGTTTAGTTTTTTTGTCCAGAAGGGGTACACACAGCGATTGCATAGAGGAAAATGTCTAAACATCTAAAATTTAAAAACAAATTCTAATATAATATTATCCCAGGATGTCGTCTTCAACACACACCTGTAATATCTCTTCTCTTAGAGGTATTAATAAATCGCATGTTCACTTCAGTGGAAATACTCCCATGGGTGCAGTTGCTAGTGTTGCAGGTTGGAGTCGCTGTACAACTGACCTGGAACAAAAGCAGCGCAATTCCAACACCTTCCACCGACAAAACACACTTCCGGCCACTGTCATTTCATCCATTTGACATCTTAAAATGGGCCTCCTGAGCGCCACCTTCAATCCTGCATGCGAATGTACCAAGGGACGAATCCTACTACGATAAAGGATTGTCTCATGAATATTAGTGACGCAACGTGGCGTTCGCCCGGTACGCCTGTCGGATTGGCTGTAATGCAAACACACGGTACCAAACAAGTCTTATTTTAAAATTTGCTCTAGATATAGAAAAAAAAGCTTCAAAGGATTATTAATGAATACAAACAGATTTTTAAAAATGTATCTTCCAAGTATACATTCCTAAAATAAACATGAATAATAATATTAATTAATAATAGTATAACATTACACATACATTTACTGTAAAACACTAATTTATTTTGAGATGTTAAGTAGGTGTTATTGTGTACTTGTATTTGTATGATTTGTATGACAAATAAATAAATAAACATATATATATATATATATATATATATATATTTGTGTTGCCAAAGAAGTGCAAAATAACACAATAAAGTGAAATCTCATCGCTCGCAGGTTATTACATTAAATAACAAATTCAATATGTAGCTTCGGAGACGAAGCAGCAAGTAAATAAATATATAAAATCTATAAAAATGAAAACATACGCTCCCGGAAGGTTACCAGGCAACGCGCACACGGCGTAATTAATATTCATGAGTAAAGCGCTTCCCGTAGTAGGTTCCGTAATTTAGCGTGTCGCATCACGAGTCCGTCCATACGAGTCCTGAAGCGGCAGAAGAGGCATGATTTTCCAAGCGCTGGCTGCTCTTTCACCGCTTATAAACAGACACACGCAAGACTAGCGAAAACCCGACCAGATTTAAACGTTTTTTCCTCATTTTCAAACGCATTTTGTTCATTTCCTGCTATATAAACTTCTCTATTAGCTTTAGCCAGGTAGCTTGCATCTAGAAATTGGACAAGTATGATCAGCCTGGCGGTGGATTAATCGGCCTATTTTAACAGAAGATTCATTTTTCTCATGTGAAACCGCGATGTCACATAGTGTAGTAAAGATTGCTTGTTGTTTGTATTGTTCCAAAGGCGCTGTCTGAAGTTGATGTACGTTAGGTTTGTAAAGCTGAACAAAATCCAGGAAAACTGGAGATCACAGCCAGGAAATCTCTTCAGGAGAGCAGACTAAAGCCTTTTCTGCCTTCAAACTCAGCAGTTTAGACCAAATCAAGACCGAACAAAGAGGACATCCATCCAAAGCCTTTTCATTTCATCTACAGAAAGAGAATAAAGCAC